AAGAAAAAGATATTCTGCATTTTTAATTAAGCACAGCTTAATACGATGATATGTTAACCAACCGGGTATACACGGGGTGTTACAGTAACCAACCTGAACATGAACCTAAAAGTGAATAAAAATGCATGCTTGGACGTCCTAATGGGTTAAAAGTTGAACCTTGGGAGTGATATATCTCGAAATGCAGAAACCGCATTCTGTCGCGAAATATCCGGATATGGAGTTGTAAATATCCGGATATTGATATCCGAATATGGGACTTGTGATATCCGAATATGTTCCCGACAAATATTCGGATATTCTGGGAATTTCGAGACAGTAGCTGTACTGTTTATACAGAATGGCATTTTGGGTTTGTGGACCCATGATTGGTTAATATGGACCTCTGTAATAATTAATCTAAGTCAGAATCAAAGTGATTAAGGGTTTATGGCTTTGTGAGAAGCCTAAAGACATGAAATGTAAAAGGAAAGTGTTGTCTTTATGTCATATACTTGTGGAGTATGATTGTTGATATGATTGCTGGTCTAAAACATATTGTGATTCTGCTGTTTGTGGACTTTGAGCTTGGTGGGACTCTTATTTGGATAGTTAGTGTAAGAGGTAAGCTTTCGTGTCCTCGGTTTAGCCATTGTTGGTTCCACCATACACCATGGGGGGATTGTTCTATGCATGATGTGTTTTCATGTTTTGATGATTGAAATGCTTTGAGCTGTTAAGTGCAAGGGCCTTATAATATGCATGTGTTGTTCCATCTAGACGGTAAGCCTGAGTATGTGGCGTCATACAATACGGTAATTCTGTGGGTGGGTGCGAGTGGCGTCTTGCACTGGTGTAGGTAATAGACGTATGTAAATCCTGCATTTCTCTTGCCAGTAGAATAGTTGACACACATGACATGATTATCTGTTGCATTGCACTGATTTTGGAACTTATATTGTATATTGCTTTTAGAACTTATATTGCACACGTAAGTGAGCTTGGGATTGAGAAATCCTTGAGGACCCCTTGCCTTACTGAGATTTCTGTTTAGAGATCTCACCCCACGTTTGGGGCACATATTTCAGGTTCAGGTAACTCGGGGGTTGAGACCTCGGGCGACAGGAGGCCGGAGCTGAGTTAGGCATTGCTGCTTATTCTGTTATGATTGGATGCTGACATGCGTTATGTTATTATTATGATTTTGGTTGAGACTTTGATGAGCTTGTTGCCTTATTTGGTTAGCATGGAGGTTGTCCATGCCACATTGTTCGACTATGTCTCGTTTCAGTATTGCGTTGTATAAGTGTATCAGGATTATGGTCCGGACTTCTTGTTGTAGTTCCGTGACTTAGATACTCACGTATTTATAATACGAGGTTATTCAGTGTAGATAGCTGTTTATTTGCAATTACATACAGGCAATGTTTTAAAAGTATTAGTAATCAACTTGGTAATGGATAATGACGTCATAATTGAAAAGAAAAAGATTTTCCGCATTTTTAATTAAGCGTGGCTTAATACGATGACATGATAACAAACCGGGTATACACGGGGTGTTACATTTTATGGTATCACCAAACTGCTCTATAATTAAAGAACAAATAAGTAAATCTATTGTGAGTTGTCCTTTTAACGGCACTCTCAGAGACGTTAAGCCAATTAATTAATTTTGTTACCCTTTTCGTTATGATTTTTTAACTTCATCTTTGTCAGTTCAAAGCTTTCGCCTTGTCAAGTTATGAGTTTGCCTGGAGGCTTGTATGTGGTTTTTTTTTTGGGGGAAAAAGTTGTTACGTTACATAAGAAGTGCTCTCTTAGGATGTGACCTTTCGATTTATGTGTAGTTTTTTTTAAAAATAACTGTTTTCTACTTGAGCTGCTTAATGTAGCACCCCGTATATATCCGGTAATGTTATCATAATATTGTATTAAGCTGCGCTTAATTAAAATGCGGAATTACTTTTTCTTTTCAATTATGATGCCATTAACATTACCAACTTGTTTAATAATCAATTAAGAAAACATCGCCGGTATGTAATTGCAATAAAACAGCTAACTGGAATACCTCATAACATAGATAATATAAGTGTGGCTCTAGTCGTGGAACTACAATAATGTAGGCCGGACCATCTAACAGTTTATACAACTCCAATCTAAAATGTACTAACAGAGAGTGTCATGGGCAATCCCCATGCTCACTCAAATAAGGCAACATGCCTAACATCAGTCTCAACAACAACATAATAATAAAAGGCATAAAACATAATCAGCATCTGAATGCAGTCATGCTAACACAAAGCAGTAAAACATAATCAGCTAAGCTTCGGCCTCCTGCCGCCTGAGGCATCGGTACTCATAATACCTGATCCTGAGATAAGCATTCCCCAAACGTGGGGTAAGATCTCTAATCTAGAAATCTCAGTAAGTCAGTGAGTCCTCAAGGATCTTCCACCCCAAGCTCACTTACATGTGCAATATAAGTTCAAAAGCAGTTTATCATTTATCATTTCTAAAACAATGCAATGCAGCAGATAATCATGCCATGTGTGTCAATACTAATCTACTGGCCAGAGACAGTGCAGGTATACGTCTATCACCTACACACCGTGCAAGTACCACTTGCATTCACCCCGGTACACTGTCTTGTATGGCGCTACATACTCAGGCTTCCTGTCAAGATGAAACAACACATGCATATTAAAAGCCATTACATGTAAAGTTCAATCAACATATCAAATATCCAAAAGCATGTACACAACATGCATAAACCATACCCCCATGGGACATGGTGGAACCACAACATGGCTAAACCGAGGACACGAAAGCTTACCTTGCAAGCTAACTCCAAAAGCCAAGAGTCCACAGCTCAAAGTCCAAACACGGCAGATTCACAATCTGTTATGGACCAATACTATATCAATAATAATGCAACACAAGCATATAACTTAAAGACAACGCCTTTCCTTACGTTTTATCTCTTAAGGCTTTTCACCAAACCATAAGCCCTTCATCACTTGATTCTGACTTAGTTTAATTAAAACAGAAGTTCAACTTCATCAATTTAGGGTCCACAAAGCCCCAATAGCCTACTGTCCTCACAGCACAGCTACTGTTTTACGGAATCCCAGAATATCCGGATATTCCTCGGAACCATATCCGGATATCTTACTGGACATATCCGGATATGCAATATCTGGATATCCAGAATCCCATATCCGGATATCTATTATCCGGATACTCAAAACCCATATCCGGATATCACATATCCAGATATTCATCGGGCACATATCCAGATATTTCACGACAGAATGCAGAAAATGCATTTCGTGAAGATATCCATCCAAGGTTGGGTTTTTACCGATTTTAAATGCCTAAACATACATTTCTAGGTGTGTTTGACATTACCCAACGTTAAGTTATCATCTTTTAACCTTTACATGCATCAAGGTTCCATTTTTACACACTTAAACTCAAGTTCAAGGTTGAAGATCATACCACAAGCTTAAACTCAGCAAGAATGACCCAAAGAGCTCACCAACAACCCTTCCAAGTACTGTTTCTACAGGTACACGAAAATGGACCAACAAGATGAGTCCTTTCCTCACCAAGGAAGCTACTTGGAGCTCTAAACCACTAAGAACAAGATGAATCTCCTCCAAACTCTCCAACTCAGAACCAGAACCTCACAATAAACTCAGAAAGGTGACTCTTTTCTGCTCACAAGACTCACACTCAAGTATTTCCCATTCACCCAAGGTGTTTTGGTGAAGAAACTAGAGGAAAAGGTGACAACTTGGTTGAGTTTCCAAGGAAACAAGGCAAGGCGTGAAGGAGGCTGGTCAGCAGCTCCAAGGCACCAACTTTCACGTTCAAATGGCTGAGTATCAGCCTAGGTTAGTGTGCAAAAGTTGTATTTATAGTCCACTTAAAGGAAAACACACAGTATTAACTTTAATTGCTACGCTTAGCATTTTAATCCCAAACTTTGGATTCTTAACCTACTCAATTTTACAAGAATTATCATATTTTTCTTATAATTTTCTGAGCACTTTTTCGGTACGTGCTTTTCCAAGCCAGTACCGGTTTCTAGCACCAGTTCTCATTATCTGGACTTGAAACTCGTTTTAAAAGTCCTACATATTATTCTAGTAATTATCATGCACTTACATTAATTTTCCGGGATACTTTTTCGGTACGCATTTATACCGACTAGCAGAACCGGTATCTGCACTTTTCTTCCGAAAAGCGACTTTCAGAATTATTAATCACTTACTATAATTATTAAAACCTCATAATAATTATTAGGGTCAATTATGGAATCATTTCCTATTTTCTCATAATTTATTAATTAAATTCCTTAATTAACGGTGCGGGTTCTTACATTTAACTTTTTATGCTAGTTTATTGTTTGGAAGTTTGAGTCAATTGACAAATATAATAGGCATGATAAAATATAATACTTACTTGTTTTTTAATTGTAGAGCAGTTTGGTTATGGATAACCAATTATTTTTATGATTTGGTAAATAACCAGTTTATAAAATAAATTGCAGTTTCATATGAAATCGATTTTTAAAAATAACCGATTTTTAAAATGGTTATGAATCGGTTTGGTTCTTTTGGATATTTTGAATACCACTACGTAAAAGTCTGAAGAAATATATATATATATATATATATATATATATATATATATATATATATATATATATATAAACTAAATTTACCGTAAATCTCAATGACCAAATATTGAACACTGAAAGTCTGAAACTGTAAGGTAAGGTAAGGTATGTATCCCATATATATAAAGTATTTCACAATTTTCAAATCAAATACACGAATTAAAAAAAAAATGCCACAGCATACAAGGGACATCATGATCATACAATTATTGTAATATTTCCTCAAACTACATGCAATTAAACGTAGAAACTTCACAACAAAAACCAAAAATTTAAATGACTTTTTATTTTCCTAGACATAATGCATGATTTCAATATTTGGAATAGCCATTTTAACTCAATTCAATCTGTTACATATTTTTCTGATCTGACCCTGTGTGCCAGTTAGTGGGCTAAGGTTGCCCATCTTGATCATCGCATTACCAAAATCTAGACTGAAGAGAAATGGATTGGTGGCATACTCCAAAACTTTTTGATTTGTGGAACCACCGTTGAAGAGTTGTTGGTCGGAGTGAAGAATACCCTTTTTGTTAACCAAATTCGTGTAGTAAGCACTGTCAAAAAAGTTCGGAGTGGTAGTGTCTATAGGAGATAAGTTGTCATCACCACCTTTGAGGGGACAATTTTCTTGCAATGATTTTGCAAACATGGGATCTATATTGCTTTCGTTATAAATCCTTGTTCGGAAGGTCGAACATCTGGTTTTGCCTATTGTATGAGAACCTGAAAAATAGTTTTAAATAACTTGTTATTGAATATGTAACAAGTAGATGTCTATGATTGCAAATATTTTTATGTAACAAAATCCTTCTAATGCATTGTGCATAGTAACGTGTAAAACTAGTTAAAGTAGCAATAATGGGTGTATATATATATATACCTGATAAAGCAACCATTTCATCCACTGTGAAACCCTTCTTTTGGAAAGCAGCGATAAGGCCATTAAGATCCAGAGAGGGTGGGGGTAAATCTGAGTTAGCATCACTTAAGCTTGCAGTTGTTGAGTCTCTTCTGCCCAAGCCAACTTCCCAACCAATTCCACCAAGCTGAGAATTATTTCTCATCCATCAGTCACATCACATACATACGGATAAATTTTCGGTGAGTACATAATTAATACACATAATAAATTAGAAAAATATAAATTTATTTAGTTACATTTAGACCATTTCTTTGATGACAATTTTTTTTTTTTTTTTTTGGTAAGCTCTTTGATGACAATTTACTATTAGGAGAGTACAATTAATTTTTTTTATATAGATATTAACTAGTATCCGAAAATCTTAATGAATCGGACCAATCTAATTTTGGGTTTGAATATCTTCATTTTCCCAAACATGAAAACTCTTAGGAATCAAACTTTTTATCTTTTGAGCAAGTCAATTTACAATATCTAACTGGATTGTCACTACACCAACAACTCTAGGGTAGTCTATGTAATTTTAATTTGTCAATTAAAATTATTATATAAAAGCTCAATCACAATTTATCATGTTTACATAATGAAACTTTATTTATTTGGTGCAACTTTCTACAGGACCACTGAAATTTATCCCATGCATAGGAATATCTTAAATTGGTTGATTTGTTTATTTCACAATGAATACTTACAGCAACAACAGAATCCCTTGCAGCAACAGCTACGATGTCGGCGCAAGAGACAACACCAGGGCACAAGCTCTCTACTTGAGCTTTAATGTTCTCTATCACATCGAAACCCCTTAGAGAATTAACGTTTGGAAAGGCACTTTGTTCTCCCGTGAATGTTGCTGTGTCCTTTAACAATACTGATGCATCACATCCCTTCAAAATGCAGAGCAAGAATAATAACACGTTTTAGTTAGTCAAGTTTGGCTCTTTTCTTTCACGTTTCGTCTAGTTAGTGAGTAATAAATATACACACGTCGCGCAATAAGAATTTATGAAACAGATGAAAAAAAATTAACTCGTGCCATGCAGTAAATGCATAATGTATAGGAAAGTGTTTAAAAAGTAATGCATAAAATTGTAAGCAGATGAAGACTTAATTACTTGGACAAAGCAATCATGGAAATGAAGACGGAGCAATGATGCACCCATGCGAGGCTCTTTGAACACAGCAGCGGTTACTAATTCCTTAATGGTTATAAGGGCGAAGGGACACTGTATATTATAAAAAAATGGACTTAATTTATTATTAGGATTAGGTGAATATGAAGCTGAAGCTATAGCAATAAGACACAAGAACAAACAGATTCTGAGCTTGAATTCAGTCATGTTGATTTGCAGGAATTCTCAATAGGGGAGAGAAGGTGGGTTTATGATTTGTGTTTGGTTAAGGTTAAGGGTCTCATGAAATGTGTCACCTATATATACACGATGCATGCTTTGCATTATTATTATTTTTTATTTTAAGAAACCGTGTTTGAATGCAGGCAGCAATATATGAAGGTTGTGGACGTCCATTGCTATCTAACTTGTGGTTTCATGCTGTGCTGTTAGCTGTATCGTACTAAACAAATTAATTAATAGTGGGCCATTGTCCTAAATTAGGCAAAGTCAAACATTTGATAATTAATTGTTTTTTTTTTGTAATTTATACTTAATTTGAATAAAACAAAAATATTTGTCCCCTACATAGCCATTTTTATTTCACCGCACTTAATAACTATCACACATATATAAATCAACAGTTTTTCACATTATCAGGTGGAATGCAAAGATTAGATTAGTGGAATAAATCATGAAAAGGCTAAAATAGAGAGAGTTTTGAATATTTGTCCATATTCATTAGAAAAAGACATTTGCTATCATAGTTAAGAGAACGTTGTGGATTTGGATCTTCTCATGTGAAAAAATGATTATCTGGCTATGTTATTTGATCACGATCACTCATTTAAAAATTATATATTTTTCTCTCTTATTTCTTCATCAATGAATGATTGTGATCAAATGCACATGATCACATTTTTATATGAAATGATCCATTCTCGTTTCCAGTATATTGGTTTAGGTGAATCTGTCAATGTTCTGGCAATTCAATCCGGCCACGTAGCAGTTCTCTTTGGATGCCTGCTTGAATTTTATTTGTGATTAACTTGTTTTTTTAAGTTAATTCTATGTATATTTTAATTTAATTTTTTTCATTTGCCACGAAACATGTTGATAGTAATGCTTTTCAGAATTTGGGTATTGAAGGAGAGGTTAAATTAATACTTTGTCTAGTATTTAATATGGTAGCAAACTCTTGACTTCAAATAACATCAAATAAGATTTGGTATTTCAGCGGAAATTTTTCTACCGGAAAGAAAGGCATGGTTAAGCATAGCTTTTTTTTTAATCATTATTTTTATTTGGTTGTTTTTTAAATTCTGGGTAAACATTGCTTGGGACCGGAGAAAAATAAATCGAGGGATACGTTTACTTCCCCAAGCTCGATCATATTGTGATCGAAATAAATTGCACAATCAAGGGCAAAAAATCATGTTATGTAGCTCAAAGTAAAAATTGTATATTTTTATTGATCGTTTCTTGAAAAAAAGAAAGTTAATATGTATATATATTTGGGGAATGATTCGTTTATAAATTTTTTTATAAATTTTTGCAAATTGCACTATTGTTCCCGGAAATAAATAGTGTAACATAGTATACTTCCGAAAGTACATAGTGTAGTTTGTAAGAATTTGTAAACAAAAAATTTATAAATATAACCCTCCCTTATATATTTATATTATATATCCAAAGTTATGGTGCTTCATGAGATGTTGAACTCGTTTCTTGTTCATAAAAGACAAGCTAGCATACTATTAAAATCAAGCGAAAAAAAAAAATAATCAAGCCATATCTGTTCCCAGCTCATTTAAGTGCATTTATGAAACTATTGGGCCTTGGGTCAGTTTGGTTGACAGGCACCTTCTATTGATGGGCTACGGCCCATTATAACGTGATCGGTCCAGCACAAATGTTAAATATCCTAACAGTTACAGCAAGCGGGCACGCCCGTTTCGTCTTGTATAGTTATTTTATTTGGGCTTGGCCCTGTGTACTTTTGTACTTTGGAACCAGTATTCAAATGACAAAAAAAAAAAAAAAAAAATTAACACACAGAAAGTTCAGCATCTCATGATTTGAACTTTTGGAAGAGATGGAAATATCACGTCCCAAGTGCATAACAACAAATTCCAGCCATATAGTTCTTAAATCAAACTTTAAAAAAATAATATAAATAATTTAAAATTCAAAGATGTTATACATTAAAGCTTAAGAAATTGATATTTGAAAAAAAAAAGTTTGTTGTTTTAATAAAATGGTAGGTTATATTTATAAACTTTTAGTTTACAAATTCTTACAAACTACATTATGTCTTACCGGTAAGACACTCTTGAGTTAAGTCTTATCAGTAAGACATAACATAATTTGTAAGTTTGTAAAAAAAAATTTGTCAATATAACCCTCGTATCTTTTTTTTAATCTTTGAAAAAATGAGCTTTTATGATTAATCTTTTATTATAACTTTTCAGCATCATTTTTGGCTTTTGAAAAAAGAAAGTGCTAAAAACTACTTTTTGATGTTTTTATTTTTTAACAGAAAATATTATAAAAAATTAAATGCATTACTAGAAAATGCTTTTTTTCGACGGAATTTTTTCCGTCAAAACTGACGTTTTCGACGGAAATGAAGCCGTCGAATATATCTTCGTAGGTAAATATTTTTTTGACAGAATTAGAAATTTCGTCGAAAAAATTGGACGAAAATAATTTCCGACGAATTTTTCGTCAAATTTTTTTGACGGAAAATAAATTAAAATTCCGTCGAAAAATCTTGTCTCAATTTTCGACGGAAAATGAATATAATTCTGTCGAAAAATCTTGTCTCAATTTTTGACGGAAAATAAATTCCGTCAAAATTTTTCTACAGAAAATGAATATAATTTTGTCGAAAAATCTTGTCTCAATTTTCGACGGAAAACATTTTTAATCTGAGCTTTGCAATGTCGTTCAAGACGGATTACTTTCCATCTTTAATGACCCACTAATAAACCCATCAAAAACACGTTGTTGTGTTCATTGACAGAATTCATGCCATCAATGTCTTTGTCAAAGTTAAGAATGTCGTTAATACTTAAAGTTGAGATGATATGTCGACCACCCTTAATTTCCCTCAAAATTCTTTTCATATATTTTGTAATTATAGAACAGACGCTTATATTCACAAACACATTTGGATTCAAGAATCTCCAACTGGAATCTTACATTTGAAACATAGATTCACCATCAATCTTACTCTTAACACTCCATCCTCAACGATGAAAGGACTCCCCTTTTATCTTGTTATTCGAGAGTTTGATTTTAGAGTAGTGCACTACTAGAAATGTCTTAACACGTGTAACATTTTGATTCGAATGAAGAATTTAGAGTTTGATATTTTAAATGTAAAAGAACCGTTTTCTTTCCCAATATTTCGGTTTGACATGCGCAGAAAGAAAGAACTATGGTTCTTTGTAGAATTATTAGCGATGTTGATCGTATATTTTGTTTGGATAAATTTTGGTTTTTTTTAACAGGTTAAACGAGACTTTTATATTTTGTAAATAAATCAGGCCTCAAGCCGATAATTACATTCATAACAGGTAACAGCTAGGCCAGACTGACATATTTAAACAAAGACTTGGCCTTTTAAAAACCCAAGTTCGGCCCAGCTCGGCTCGGCTCGTTAACACCCCTAATTGCAGATGCATAAAAAGTACCTTAGAATCAAGTAAGTAGTTATTTCTTTGTTTTTCGGTTCTTTACCTTCATTTGTGTTTCAACTTTCAATTACCTTTAATATTTTGTAACTTTCTTTTTTTTATCCATTATTGTCTTCTTGATTGTAATTTCCCTTTATACTATCAATATATATGTTATGGATCTATATAAGGCCTATATATTTAAAGGCTCAATAAAAGGTAACCACATGACGACAATACAATGACATATCAGGCCCATAGATCTTTAAAGGCCCAGAATTCTTATACATATACGTAAATTATATAAATAGGGGGACAAAGTCTATAGATATGACTTAATCTCTCTCTTACTGTTATGTTGTCACTATGCACACATACCACCCTACTGGCTACGCCGTTATCAGTTGTGTATAATGATCTGCTATCTGAAGTTATCTAATTCATAGATACCTAAGGGAGAGTACTTGATCCAATATTGATCTACTAGACACTTCTGTCACTTAGACAAAACAATATAAAAATATGGTTTCTCCATAATTTCCCTAAGTGCCCTTATAATTTATTACTTCTTGTTGAAAAATGTATCAGGAATCAGAGTGATATTTTATAATAATGTGTGTTTTGGAACCTGACTTATAATCTAAGTTGAGTTGACAAAAAAAAAACACTCGCAACGATTAATGTGACATTACTGAACTCTTCCTTGGTGTTCCGAAGCCAGTTGATGTTGCCCTTTGTTTCTTGCCATGGATGAAGGATTTCCCATTATCATCAATGTCAAGGTATAACAAATTCTCTTCAAGCTATTAGCTTACTTACCAATATTGGTATTTTTTCTTGAAAGCTTCCTTTACTAGCTAAGATTTGAGTTTATCTAAACAAAGATTAGTATGTCGCTTTGTCCCATATCTTTAGGAACTGCAAGAATTATGCGGACTGGATGGGCGAATTGAAGAAGGCTGTTAATGACAATCATGGGCTCATCTTAGTTTTCTCTCCCCACTAAGATTTGATCAACCTCATGGTTGTTGACCTCCTTGATCTAGGCCAAGAGTTTGCTGCAGCTCCCAGAATAGCTTGTCTTTCTGTTTGAGCTTGTCCATTTTTCGTTTTTGTTGTTTTTATATTTCCTGTTGTCTCTTTTCTTTTTGTTTTTGTTCCTTAGGGGTTTTGGCCCTGTTTGTTATATAAAAAAATTGTAGGTTATGTAGTGATAATGATTTTTGGCTATGGTGTTTTCTTTTCTTTCTTTTTGGTATACTGACCACAATTACCTCTTTCCATACAAGCTTCAACTCTTTGAGCCGGTTATGAGACTAATTCTGAATCAGGGCTATGGTGTTTTCTACCACCAAAGTTCCAAACACACTTTCTTTTATCTAGCTACTCAATATGTCATTTTTCCATTGGCTACTAAGGAGGCTAGGGGAGGGACTTAAGGCTTGTTTTTTTTCTTCTTTTTTCGAGAACTGTAAGAACCCGCACCGTTAATTAAGGAAGTTA